AAAATGTATCAAATCCTTTACTCATAACTGAAATGTAAGTGCACTTACTAGGTGTGACGCTGGGGGTGGGGCCCAATGAATCATTGTTGTGGGAGCTGTCCTGTACACCACAGGATGTTGACCTCGCCCCACTAGATGCCAGTAGAACCCCCCACACACACTCCCCAGCTGTGACAAGCCAAATGTCTCCAGACATTACCAAATGTTGAACACTACTCCGCTAGACACTTTCATGGGCTGTCCAAGTATGATCTCAACCCTGTGAGTTAAACACTATTATTACCTCCATTGTGGAGATACGGAATTGAGGCACAAAGAGGTACAAACTTGCTCAGGGGCCTACAGCTAGTGAGGAGTGGGGCTGGAACTTAGGCCACTTAGCCCAGAGCCCACACCTCGGACTCCCACCTCTGCTGCCTCTCACACCACTCTGTGAGGGAATGGCTCCCTAGACTCCAAGATCCCTGGAGTGTCCGCCTGCTGCTGCCCTTTGCAGCAACTAGGGGAGGTCGGCCTCTATCACGCTGAAGCCCTTCACTGCTTACAACAGTTCTAGGAGCCTTCTGCCCCTTCTCAGGTGGGCTTCCTTGTGATGCAGCCTCTAGTCCCCCGCCCCACACGTCCCAGGCCTGGGGCTGTGCGAGAAGCACTCCAGCACGTTCTCGGTGCATGCAGCTGTATTTACAGAATGACTGTTGGCCTCCATCTGGACACCAGACTTCCAGGAGTGTTGGCTACGACTGCGTTCACTTTCATGCAATCACGTCCCACCACTGGCACGGGGCTGCAATCCCTCAGTTGATAAGCCACATCTCCTGGGCCCCGAACTTGTGTGGCTACCCCTTTGAACTAAACAGCAGGACTGTATACCTGCTTATACCCATTTTACCTCAGGAAGGTAGGGCCACATTTCCAGCCTGTCAAGGTGTGTGAATGTAGATCTAATCATGATGGTGTTAGCTAACCCACTAGGGAGTCCTCTCAGCTTAGTGTCTGCTGTCAATATTCCAGAGGGGACTCAAGCTGGGCTGTGAATTTAATGTAATTAACACAACCGCTAGGTAAGGCCATGGGAGTTCTCCTGGGGGGTTCTAATCCACTTGAATCAATTACTCGTGGGTGCAGATGGTCAACTAATTGCAATTGTGCAGAATGGACCAGTCATCTCTATCACTTCTCCTCTGCATGAAAACCCTCAACGGGTTCCTCATCACACAGAGAGAAAGCCCGTGACCTTGCTCTGACCTATAAGAATACACAGGACATACCCGCCAGCACCCCTCTGCCCTCCTTCTGGCTGATCCTGGCCCCACCCTTTCTTGACTGGGCAGGGACACTCCCTCCTCTGAGCCTTTACATTTGACCTCTGCTCAGCCTGGAATGCTTTTCCCCTAGACTTTCAGCTCTTACTCACCTTTACCTCCCATCAAATATTCTGTGTATGCCCAACATTTCAGATCCCCCTCCCTGATTGCAAAGACTTTTTTTTTTTTTGTCGTTTGGTTTGCTGCTGTAGCACCAGTGTCTACAATAGTGCCTGGCACACAGTAGGCTCTTGATACAGATTTGTCAAATTAATCAGTGGACCTAATTCGTGGGGGATGTCATTGTCACAGTGCAGGTAGAGCAAGAGGGGAAGAGGCCATAACAGGTTGCATACCGGCTTCAGCCCCTCTGACGCAGCCCCTGACCTGACACAGCCTGAAAACTCCCCATCACTGAACAGCACAGAGAGATCACAGCATGCCCGGTGGGGAGCAAGTCTTGCCTTGGCTCCAGGCTCATTCCAGGCAGCAAAGTGCAGAGTAATTGACCAACTGCCCCAAGGCCCACCAGTGAGCAGATGGGGGCGTCTCTCCAGACATCCAAGTTCAAGAGACATCCAAGGTTTGAGGAAAAGCGGCCTGACAGGCTTCCCACTGCAGTGCGTCAAAGCGCTCCGTTCCCAGCCTTTGGGATCCACCGGCTACCTCCCCACCAGGCGCCCCGAATGGCCCAGCACTGCAGCTTCCTGCATAGAAACATGGTATCATCCACTTCATACGCTGCCAGTCACAAGACACCACAGGGAGCCACTTGAAAATCAAACTTCTGGTGTTTGCCAGGGAGG